TTTCCAATGATGAATGTCATTATATTGTATACCTAAAATGTACCAATAAAATAAAATTTAAAAATATATTTATCTAACTCCAATTACCCTTAGGTTAGGTTTATTAAGATTGTCTGTTAGCTATTAGATGAATTTTTCTTGCAGCCATTATTAAGTTTTCTCTGATAATGTCATCATATGATTCCATTTTGTCCTTGTTTTCTGAAACTTTATTTTCACATCACTCATTTGTGCTCTTTATGAATTCAATAGAATTCTTTATTCCATTGTTTCTATTTGGCACATTTTTGTTGAGTCTATTTGGTAAATTTGTCATTCATGTTTTGAACTGTTTTGTTCAGCTCTTCCAATTTCTTTTTGCTTTTCCCACAATTACATTGGTCAGTTTGCTTGATAGTCACACCATCTTTTGGTTATGTACTCTTTGTCTTGACAGTTTTTTTGCTTCCTCTTTAATGACTTTGTACAGCTCAACTAGCTGAAATTTGCTTTCCTCTCTATCATTGCCCCTTGCATCTGATTTGAAAAAGTTGGCAGTCTTTGGAGGAGTTTTGTTTCCTTGTTTTTTTATGTTCCTATTTTTTTCTGTGTATGGGTTGAGATCAAATAATTTGCTGTTGGCATGAAGACCTTTTCAGTTAGATTCTGTTTTTCAGTTTTGTGCTGTTGACTTTACTTATCAAGAGATGTTGTTTACCACTTCAACCTATTTTGTTTAATTGAGTTGTGCCCCGTTACTGTGTTGAAAGGACAGAATTTCTACTGGCTGTAATAGCATCAACAGATCAACCATAAGTCAATTATAAACATTAAAACTTGTTTTAATAATTCATCTTTTTGTCAATACCCATAACAGATTACATTATATTATACTGCTGTTTGTAGTTTGTCTGGACAATGGAGGGTGGGGAGAAGGAGAGAAAAAGAGGAAAAATGAAGGTTGTATGTTACTGGGAGGAAAGCAAGATAAGTAAAATGTCAACAGATAAAAAGTAGGAGGTCAAACTTTGTTGAATTACTTTTATAACTTAATTAAACAGGCAGTATTGGGGGGGGGTTGAGACACATTGAGTCTGACTGAGAGGAGCCATAGAGTTTTCCCCTGTAGCCCAGACAATTGCCTGAATCCACGAGGGCTGTTCCTCCCTCTAAGCACATGCCCTAGTTGTAAGCTGTGTTCTGGGTATGAGCCACTGAGCACATCTGTGGAGATAATTGCCTTAATGTGTATGTGTATGTGTGTGTGTGCGCTCGCATGAGGTGGTGGTGGTAGTGGTGGTAAATACTGCTTTTCTTGCCTAAAATATTGTCAAAGGGCAACTGGCCCACATGTCACTCACTGTCATTCACTGTCTCTCAACTCACAGATATCTTTTTTGGGGGGGTGTACCAGAAATCGAACTCAGGACCTTGTGCTTGCCAGGCAGGCACAGTGCTCCTGAGCTAAATCCTTGGCCCTCTACCCATAGGTATGTATCAATCTCAGCCCTGCCTGCAGAACCTAGTCCTGAGCTCAAGCTTAGCTGAGAACCCCACTTTGCCAGCATAGGGTGGTCGGGAGGACCTCATGCTGTCTCAGGCATTTCCAGTTTTTGGAGAAATAATATATGAGTGCCTCATATATTTATTTTGGAGAATAATCTGTTCTGGCTTCGCTGAATCTCTCTCTGACCTAGGCACCAGTGTCTCCCCTTTCACATATCTCCCCCACTTAACTCTGCTCCCCATATTTGTCACAGAACCAAGTTTCTCTGCCCTCCACAGTCTCCACCTAAAAGGTGCTGGAGGCCATCCTATGGAAGCCCACTGCCTGGACAGGTAGCATGCTGGCTGAATGTTTCACAAACAGTATTCTTGGTGTATATGGGAGAAAATTTTTTTCTGCCCTTCTCTTTTTCTTCTCCTAATATTACTATTATCCATAAGTTTTATCTTTTTTAATTATCACACAGTCATTGAAGATTCTGTTTCAGGTTTTCACTCTATTTTCTATTCGCATTTAAATTTGGAAGTTACTATTGACAAATCTTCAAGCTCAGTGATTTTTCACTTACCTAAGCCTATTTGACTGAGGAGCCAATCAAAGGCATTTCTGATTTCTATTATACTGTTTTTGATTTGTGGTATTTCCTTTTGTTTCTTTTATAAAATTTTCATATTTTATGCTTATATTCTTTATCACTGTCTTTCAAATAAAATCCCTTATGACATTAAATACTTAACTTTCCTGTATTATATACAGTTCCACAATCTGTGTCATATCTTAGTCTAGTTTTGATACTTAATTTTCCCCTTCAGGCTTTCATCCTTTCTTTTAAGCAAATTTTGTAATTTCTTTGGATAGGGGCAAGGGATGTAGCCCAGTGGCATAGTGCCTGCCTGGCAGTGCGAGGTCATGAGTTCAATCCCTGATACCAAAAAAAACCCAAAAATAAAAAAATAATTTGTTTGGATAGCTCTGAGGTCAATGAAAATTTCTCTAAGTCTTGGATTTTGTTTGCTGTTTGCTGTAGCTATGGAGCCATGAGGTTAAAATTTCTCCAGTGATGTTGGTTTTATTTATCCTTTTGTTTTTGGAATTTCCAATGAGCTCCTCCTTAAATTCTGTACTTTGCAACTCTTCCAGTTACTTATTATGGTTATACTGGTCCCCATTCATGTGATAGTATCTGTAAAAGAGGGAGGATTATATAATCTTATGATTAAATATTGATATTTTTATGAATTTGTGTCCCAGGGTTATGACCTTCAAAGGGGTTTCTTAGCTCTCTGCACTTTAGACAACACAAGAAGTATAGAAAATGTTCAAGTTGGGTAACTAACTACCTCACCTCTACCCATGATAAGATCCTGACAAGGCATTTTTACCTGGAAGGAGGCCTTTTGTGTAGAAAATGTTCTAAGCTAATTACAAATGGTTGGTTTTCTTCTTTTCATGCCAGTGGCATGAGCAAATTATTCTTGACCCTTCTTCATAAGAATGTGGTGGGTAAAACCCATGAAGGGTTAGAGACTTCCCCAGGGCTACAACCTTCACTTATTTTTTACTTTTAATAATTCCATTCCACACTCAGCATTAAGTAACTTTTCAAAATTACAATTTATATATTGCCAACAATCTATAGTTATACGGGTTTTTGGTCCAGGTAAGTAGAAATTAAATGGGCTTTATATGTATATATTTGAATGCTTCTGAAGAAGTCAGGGAGGATATTTGCTTGCTACCTAATTTCCTTGATTAGCCCAAAGAAAAAGTATTGATTTAAAATATGTTCAGATTTGTTTGTGTGCCTGAAAGAATGGAGTAACTGTGTCCATTGACCCTTTTTCATCACTGTAAACACAAGTAGTCATTCATTTCTTATTATATTTTATGGAAGTCATAGTTCACGATGGAGTGCATATTAAGAAAAATATGATACTTCACAGATAATAATTTGAGGAGCACTGTTAAATAACATCAGAAGACCCTAAAGCTGGTGTGTCACACCATAGGGAGAATGTAGGGGCAGGGAGTGGATAGGAAGACATTGTCTTCATCTGAACACAACACAACACTTCATGAACAATGCTAGCACTTTCATCACAATACACTGGTGCAGATGCACACTGTGGTCCTTGATAGAATTAGAAAGAGGCAAGTCTCAGAGTTGCCATCCTTGGCTAATCTACCCTCCTCCACAGTCTTGTGATAAAAAGATCAGAAATTCATGCAAGTGTAAGCTAAAATTTTATTATTTCTCTTTGAAACCTCTGGCCACAATGCACAACACAGAAGGTCCTGAAATTAGATGAGAAGCAAGTAGAAGAGGGATGATCAGAAGCAGGGGTCATATTTCAGTATGGAGAGAGAAAACTCCCTTCTTGGGTGAATCTTCAGAACCTGATTCTTGCACATGGTTAGCTCCATACAAATTCAGACTGCTATCCACCCTAGCCCTTGAACTTGCAGACATAGGGTAACTGCACAGCACAGTTGTAATCTCTCCACTTCAGAAATCCTGGAGAGACAAAAGAATTAAAGTGAATGGGACTGTTGGATCATACAAGTCCAATAAAGAAACATCTCAGGCTCTGGCCTACATTTTACCACCTCTCTATCATCTTCAGTAGTGACCCTATTCAGAGAAAGAAAATGCAAAAAAAGGGGAGATGAGAAGAGACAGGAGAGGACATATCATCACTGCATTTCCTAGCTCACCAGGATTCTCTGAACATCAGGCCCAGGAGTGGGGAAAAGAGTAGAAAAGGCTGGGCAGATATGGCTCCTATCTCTCACCTGAGGCTCGTGACACGCTCCCACAGTAACCACGGTCAGAGGCACTGGAAGGATTCCTCTCCCAGTTAGTGTAATCCAGTATATCAGTGCTACTCCACTCCCATCCATCTCCATTGGATTCAAAGCCCTATAGAGTAGAGGATGCAACCAGGTGAAGGAAATGGCCATTTAACCTCTGCTTTCATGATCCCTTTACTGGAACACCTGACTCCCTCCCAGTCTCATGGAATTTAGTCTGGTTCTCCACAGAGAGGCTACTCAGAATATTCTAATGCAATATGCTCCCTTAATTCCCCACTTACTGAGAAATCCCCCCAAATAATCACAAGACTTTGGGCCCATTCAAAATAACATGTTTCTTGCCAATTTTGATTGGAAGTATATTTGGAGTTTCTTATCAACTTCACAAAAATCTCTATCTTATAAAGAGCAAATATTTATATCATCTCTGTTTAAGATTCCCCTGAAATAATATGTACAGATTCCATGAAGCTCAGGAAACTAATTTCCAAAGCTCCATGTGAGAATGACGTAATACTTGAAACAGGACAAAATAACTAATCTGCAAACTAGGGATCTCCACAGAACCCAGCTCTTCATCTGGCATCAAGGATTTCTTTATGTCCCAAATGTCTCCCAGAATCTGAGGTCTGTGGCCTTGGAGATTCTTTCTTGGTAGGCACAGGAGAATGGGTCTGGATGATAAATAGCTGCTGGATAGGTAATAGAGAGCCAAAGCTGAAATCATACCATTGTGGGGTCATAGATCCCAATCCATACATATTGGTAGGTGTTTCCACTGCTCTTGATTAGAGAGGACACAAAGGACCCCTCAACTGCAGAGAGCACTGATGCCAGGTGTCCTTCATGCCGCTTCTGGCAGGCCAACTGCATGGAGAAGAGAGAGCATAAAACAGAGCATGAGACCTCAGTGGGGTACAGCAAGGCAACAGTAGGTGGTTCACTCTCTTTCCCATAAACCTGGAGTTTAGAGACCTCCTCCCTTGTAACCCACATGTCCTTTACCCCGTGAGTCCCCACTGGATCTCTAAGCACTCACATTTGCATCAGTCCAGGATTTAGCTGTTCTAAACAGGGCATAGCAGTAGGAGCCATAGGCCCTGGAACCTCTGGGGCAGTTAATTCGTGGTGAGGCCAGTTTGTCCTGGGACTCTTCACCTGGGATTGAGGGAGACAAAGAAAAGGATGAGTGAAATGAGGAGTGGAGATTGGGTGGGCAAGTCAATTTAGGAAACAGCTATAAGGACTGCCCTTGGATATTAAGACTATAATTCTGACTTCCTATCTCCTTTTCCTGTGCTCTTTTGATATTAAGATAGCTCTTATATGGAGAGCATCTATTGCATTGTACCCTTCTCTCTCATTCAGTTGTCTGTAACTATTTTCTGACAGTTCCTACATTGTGTTCTCCAATACTTATCCTTCCATAAACATTACCACTGATGTTTAACACCTTTCACCTTTAACCCAACTTCATAAATTAGAGAGTCCTGACAAAGTGGGAGCCATCTGATTCCATTTATGGTGGACCTTTTCATGACCTCCACTACTGGTACCCAGAAGGAAGGGAGGATGATGGAGGGATTTCAAGCAGTTTCCTCATGTGTGGTACAGCTCAGCAGTGCACAAGAGACACACAGATGTCTTTCTCCCTTTCTTATAGAGAATCTCACCTTGCACCTGAGATAGGAGCATTAGGCTGGAGAGCAGCAACCAGGATACGCTGTGTAGTGCCACAGGAGCCAGCATTATGCCTGTGGGCGAGAATACAGTCTCTGAAGGAGGTGTCTAGTCCTGTTGAGGTACACTGATCTTCATTACATCCCTTCCCTTCTATAATTTGAAATGACTTTGGGAATATGTCCTCTGCTTTCTCTGAGGACTCTAAAGGCAGGCTTTGCTGAATTTTAGACCTCCTATGTTATCTGAGCTCAGGGACCTTCCTCACCTTCTCCTGTAATGGAGAAGTCCAACCTTTCCTAGGGCTCCCCTCTTCCCACAACTCCCACTTACCTGTCTTGTCAAACTGGGAATGGTTTGTAGCATCAGGAAAGATAGATTTTTATAAGAGGATCTGAGGGAGGGGCAATGATATGAATAATGGGTGTGGGGAGGGGCGGGGTCACACATAGAGCTTGGTATTGGTTCAAAGAAATTTCCATTGGGAGGAGATTCTCCCTGGAAAATGCTCAGACTTCTATAGATGCCACTTCTTTCCAGTTAGCATGCCATCTTTTTCCCCAGTAATAGGTGAATTCTTTTTTTTTTTGTTTCTTCTTTTTTTTTTTTTTTTTAATTTTTCTGTATTGTGGATTGGACCCAGGGCCTTTGCACTGAGCTACATCCTCAGTCCTTTTTTACTTTTATTTATTTATTTATTTTTGGTACCAGGGATCTAACTCAGGACCTTGTGCTTGCAAAGCAAGTGGCAGAACCACTGAGATAAATCCCTGGCCCCTGCTTCTTCTTAATTATGGTGCTGTTCCATGACATTTGCCATGAAATTTCATGCTAAAGTTCTAAAAGTGCATACCCAAAGAAAAGTCCTCTAGTGTCTCCCAAGACTTTACTTCATAGGGAAACACACATATTTCTTTTTACTCTGTCCAGTCAGATTAAATAAATTATGGGTTAGAGTTGGGGAGAAGTATAAGAATTAGAGGCACTACAGATATTTAAGGGCATAGAAAAGACTAAACCTAAGAGTGATGCCTAAGATTTGCTGCTTAAACATGGTTGTTAATTCTTTTTTTAAAAATGTCATAATTAACAAGCAATTGAATGATTAGAAAAAAATGTAAGGATAATCAAATGAATGAATTCGTTTTCCCTATCTTTTAAAAAAATGGAGATTTTCTAATGAGTAATGACAAAGGGATAGAACAAAAGGCCATAAGAAAACACAAAGCTTTAAGGAGATTAAAATCAAATAATACATATCAAAGGAAATGAATGGAAACTACAAAAGGGCAAATGTAGACATTGTAAAAATTAGAAACACAACTCTGTATTGCATATAAAGCAGACTTAGGCTGAGGTGCTCACTATTCCTAGACTACCTATCAGGTCCCTTGCAGGATGATCATTTCACAACAAATTAAAAGCTAATTCCATTACACTATTGTTGAGAAGATAGCCAGCTTCATGTGCATATACTGAGAAAACTTTTTTAAGTTAAGTTGACTTTTGAGTTGGCAATTTCGCACCATTAGAAAAACATATTATGTGGTTCTACATTATTCTTTAGGTCATTTTGACCACTCCAGAGAATTTTAGGTTTTCACACTATTATTGCTATAGGGCAGCTTGTGCACAGGTGTGTATAAAGGATACTTGTAGCAAGGTCATGCAATTAGGCTCATAATTAAGATACCCAATACTCAACAGCCAATAGAACCCCCAAATAATATAATAAGAAATACAGCCAATGGATTTTTTTGTTAAAAAGGAAATAAAAGAGAAAACTTTTACAAAATATATACAAAATAATTTAAAACTCATGTGGACATTTTTAAAGTTTAAAAAAATATATCATGCAAATGTAAGAGTTAAGATGATTTTAGATATACCATTACTAGTTTAAAAGAATTATTTGAAGACAAGTGAATAACATCAATCATATATTTAAATGAGATATGTTCCAAACTGTTGAAAAAGTGAATATTACAGAGAAAATAAAGAATTTTAGATTAAAAGAATCTTAATATGAAATCTAAACCTGGCAGGTAAATTAAGTAAACCTCCTTCAATAAAATAAGTCATCTGCAGAGAAAAGTGGGAAAATATGAATATTGACTGATAGTTGGTCATGCCAGAATTTGAAAGGTAAATAAGTAGAGAATTTCCTTATACTTTTGATATTTATGATGAAGTACTTAGGGCAAAATATCATATCTGCAGCTTCTAAAGTATTCAAGAAAAAGAATGTCTGTGTGGAGAGAGGGACAGACGGTAGAGAGATAAACTAAGCAAACATTTAAAAATGATAACAATTAATGACTTACGTGGAAGATTAGGGTGTTCAGCCTTGCTTTCAACTTTTCTGTGTACTTTAAATTTTTCAAAGAGAACATTATCATTTAATTTACAATCTCTCATTCAATGATAACAAAACATAGTTCCCCCTTATTAACATAAATTAGAGCAATATTTTTATGTAGAATCATGTATACATAGCCACAAGAAGAAATTTTACAAATCTAAAAGAAAGATTGAATTATTATAAATAAATAATGCATCACTCAAAATGTTCTGCTGTTGGGCTACCTGATATATTAATGTGTAAGCAAATATGTAAAACCAAGGATACACAATGGAGTGACTAATATTTTGTTCCAAACTAGGAAAAAGAATCACATTTCCAGAGTTTAAAAATGCTAACACCATCAGACTTCACATTTCAAAAGAGCTTCAAGAGTTTTGAAGATGGAGTAACTTGTGAGTCCTTCATTTATCTGTAAGGAAATTGGTGCAGGTCACAGCAAAGCTAGTACCTGTGATCTGCAGTCAGGGCCAGAGTCAGACGGGGCTCTCAGTAGTTTCTCTTCTTTTTCAAGCTAGGCTTGGTTTACTCTCCTTTTGAATATGCAGCACTATCAGGTATATGGCAGTTAAATTCAGGTCCTTCCATGAGAGTATGTTAAAACTCAGATTTGTTTTGTTTTTAATCAAAATGATGTGACTTTTATAATAAACTTTAAGATTATTATATCCCTAACTGTAATGTAAGGCTTGTTATTTATGATAACTCACTAAACTCAATAACTAAAGTTCAGTTTTTTTGTTTTAGTTGTAATTGTTCTTTCTGACAATAGCTGGGCACTAAGAAATGTATTCAAGTACTATACCCAGCTGGTTTTAAGGTATTTACAATTTACTTCTTAGCAAGAAAGGAATTTTCATTCTTGAAATAACCAAGGCTGAGTTTTAAGAATTATCTTTGGCCAAAAGATAAGCTATCCCACCTTGCACTTTTTATCTCTTATCTTTTGTGTCAAGTAATATGTTCAGATAAGACAGAGTATACTTATTTTTAGACTACATGGGGATATAATCTTTTTGCAAGAGTTTGGTATATTTATTCCAAGGATAGTCAACTGTGGAGAGTTACTGGACAATGACTTAGTAGGGCCCACAATAAAAAATCACCTAGAAATGTATCTTATTTGAGATTCTTCAGTAAATCCCACTCTTTTCAGATATATTAACTGTATGCCCATGCTATTATTTTGTCCTGTCATCTAATCTAAGCTTTCAGATGGCATAAGATAGGGATAAAATGAGGTTCCATGTACCTTATAAAATAATGCAGAATGAGGAAACTTCAAAGTTTCTGAGGCCAGTAAGCAAAGTTATCAAAGAACTGGAAAGCTGATGCAGCAGTTACCGGAATTTGGTCAGTCATATGTAATCAATGAACAATAAGTATCTTATGACCTCTGCAATTATTGTGGGCAATAAAGTTTTTATCAGAAAACTGCATCTGTTTTTATTTGGTTTCAAACTCTCACATTGATCTTGGGAGAGTTCCATGTTGTGGATCATGATGGCTCTTCTAATATCTATTGAACATTTCATAAAGGCTATTGTTCTGTTTATTTTTAATTTTTATTTTAGACAAGCTAGTCATAATATGAAGTATTTTTCTTTTGGGAAAATATTATTTATACTTGACTAATATCGAGTCTGCTCAGATAGCTTGTTGGTGATAACTCTGCCCATGTGTACTCTGCCCAGAGTTCACATTTCTTTTGGAAGAAAATAAAAAATAAAAATAAGATATGCTGTCATACCCATGTTGTTTTTCTTTTATCTTAAATTATCTTTATTATGCACAAAACATGTAAAATCATGCCTATCCTTAACATCTAGAATTAACAATGATCATATCTTACCATTTCTTTGTATCTTTTTTTAAAGAAATAAACAAAAATGACAATAGTAGTCATCTATATCACTTCTAAGACCCACTACTTTACATACTTTTCCATTATGAGTTTCCTCATCATTTTATCAATTAAAATTTTTAGTCATTGATAGCATAGAGACATAAATAAACTATATAAGTTATTATTTGATATTTCAGGTTTATATAGATACATCTTATTTTTATATAATACTTTGAAACTCTTGTTCATTCGTACTTAAATTTAAAATTTTTTCTACTTGACAAAAAGAAGCACTTTATGACAGGTGTAGCTCTATAACAGATACCATGCAGCTTCAAGATTTTAATAATTAATGAATTCTAATATATTGATCCTATATAATTACTAAAATTATAGCATGCTATCCCCATCCATCTGGCTGTAGGTTTTATGACTATTTTCTCTACATATTAAAAAAACTTATTTCCTATCCTATCTTTCAGTTCATATAGGATATGAAAGTCTTCAAAGATAGATAATCAGCTCTTGTATGTTGTCATAAATAGGTAATATGGTCAAAACTGGATATTGCAGTCATAACTCATACACATAAATACTCTAACAAAGGCATTTGAGAATGACTTAAATCCATAAATGAGAAAATATTATTAATATAGCTCACATAAAGATAGTTGCAAACTATTCAATAAAATGAGCAAAGACAATACTGGGAATAAGCACTATAATTTATATCAAAAATATAACTAATATATAATTATTATCTAGAAACTGATTTTAAAATTTCAGCAACTAAATATAAAATTTCATAAGGAAAATGAACCAATACAGTAAGAGAAATATAAATTTCTTTTAATTATGGACAATC